AAAGATATGAATGGTATGGGGAATGTCCAACTTGCTATAGATATAATACTAAACAGGCATGGTGTCAATCATGTGATCCAAAATTATTAACTGAAGGATGGACTAGTGGTAATGAAATATTAGATGAGTTGATTAAAAGTACACAACTTAAAGCAACATATTATCATTATCATCATCATCTTCAATGGATTCCTTATGATGATTTAACAAATATTGAAAAAATAGGTGAAGGTGATTTTGCAACTATATCCAAAGCTACTTGGTTAAATGGTGTGAAATATACTGATGGAAATAAAAGAATTATTAAAGATATGACTGTGGCATTAAAAAAAATACATAATTCACAGAATATTTCTGATGAGTTTCTTAATGAGGCAAATTATTTTATTTTTTCATTTATTTTCAGATTTTCTAAATATTAATATTCTGAATTCAATATATTTTTTTTTATATATAGTTTAGAAATTATGTTACATTTCATGGCGAATCATTTATAAATAAAATTTATGGATTAACACAAGATCTGGCTACAAAAGAGTATATCTTTATAATAGAATACATGAAAGATAAAAGTCTTCAAGATTATGAAGATCCATATATTAGAAATGAATATTATGGGGAGTGTCCAACATGCAATAAATATAATACTGATTATTCATGGTGTCAATTGTGCAATCCAAAACTATTAACTGAAGGATGGACTAGTGGTAATAAATCATTAGATGAGTTGATTAAAAGCACACAACTTAAAGCAACCAAGTATGATAATGATAAGCATCTTCAATGGATCCCTTATAATGGTTTAACAAATATTGAAAAGATAGGTGAAGGTGGTTTTGCAACTATATCCAAAGCTACTTGGATAAATGGTTATAGATATATAAATTATGTAAATGGAAAATATACCAGAGCTAGCAAAGATATGCTTGTAGCACTAAAAAAACTACATAATTCACAGAATATTTCTGATGAATTTCTTAATGAGGTAAGTTATTTTATTTTTCTATTTATTTTCAGATTTTTTAAATATTATTGATTATTATTGTTGTAATTAAATATTTTATTTATTATTTAGTTCAAAAATTATATAAAGCTTACGAAGCTTTATGATAAAAGTGGTATAATTCATATTTATGGATTAGCACAAGATCCAATTACAAAAGAATACATATTTGTGATGGATTATATAAAAGATGGAAGTCTTCAAAATTATTTAACTAAAGATTTTAAAAATTTAAAATGGTATAGCAAAATTAAAATTCTTTATAATATTATTAGAGGTTTAAAAAATATTCATGAAAAAGAAATTATTCATCATGATCTCCATAGTGGTAATATTCTTCAAGAAGATACAATTTCATGGATTGCAGACTTAGGATTATCATGCACATCTAGTCAAACATCATCATCAGACAAAAATGATATATGTGGAGTGCTACCATATATTGCACCAGAAGTTTTAAAAAATAAACCATATACAATGGCATCAGATGTATACAGTTTTGGAGCTCTGATGTCTGTAGTATCAACTGGCCAACAACCATTTAATAATTTGGCACATGATGAATATCTTGCAATGAAAATCTGTAAAGGTGCAAGACCTGGATTCTCAAATAATACACCAAAATTCTATATTGAACTAGCATTCAAATGCATGGATGCTAATCCAGATAAACGTCCAACTGCTGAAAATATTTTTAAGATTATTGATCCTTGGAATGATTCACTTCAATATTATAGGCAGGATTGTGAATCAGGATTGATGAGAGGAAATTTTGAGAGAATGGATGAAATAAAATTTGATCCTTCAACAATTACTACAGCAATTCATCCAAATGCAGTTTATACTAGTAGATTATTAAAATTTACAAACCTTCCTCAACCTGTTAATTCTAATAAGGTAACAATTATTGGTAATAATAATGGTAAGTATTAATATTCAATAATTGATTATTTTCATTTTATTAATTTTTAAAATTAATATCCACTCTTTAATAAATATTTTTTTTTAGATTCTCATCAGATTGATTTAGATGGATGAATTTTAAATCCCGTCATTTTATTATGTATTAAAATTATTTTTTATTTTATTTATTTGGCTTGTGATATTAAATATCTTGAGAAATGAAATTATATTTAATAGTGATATTGTACTGTATATCTTTGGTTTTTTTTTTAATAAATAAAAATTAATATATCTGGATAATTTAAATATACCTATATTATCAAATAAAAAGCCATATCTAAATCATTTCAACTCACTTGTTGAACTAATTCTCTTGGCCTATATCCAATCTTTTCAAATCATGTAACATTGAAATACATATGTCTATGTTTTGCCTGATCCTGATAGTGTTATTATTATAGAAAAAACTCAGAGTTTAATAACGGAAAAACACTAATTACAGAGTAAATTTTTACAGGGCATTCATTCAATATACATGTATAAATAATAATAATAAAATGTTCTCTTTACATAATGGATAATAGCACTTCATTTTCATTCACCATCAACAAATCCTCAATGTCAGATAACAACAACACAATAGATTCAGATCACAATTTATCATCATTGTATTATTTAATCACTTTTTTGATTTTTACATGTACATATAATTTTCTTGTGTTCTTTAATCAGGGTTTCTATTCATAATATAAATTTTATTCAAACTATTTGTTTATTCAATTTTTTGGCTGGGTGTGTGACCTATAAATTGTACTTAATGGCCTTAGAACAACATTTTTGACCCAAAGATAATTGAGTCAATGTTCAAAAAGAAAATGGAGTTGAGAAAGTTATTTTTGGCAATCAATTCACTCTTGAAAATGTTGTTAAAGGTTTTACTGAGTGAACACTAACCAATGCCGATTC